CCTGTTTTCATCCCGTGGGTTTCGTAAGAGCCAACTCAGGGAGTAAACTTTTCAGGATAACAGCACTGCAAAGAGACCCAATACCAAAGAACCAAATAGCAACCCATCTGGCAACATATTGTGTATTCTAGTGAAGTAACGGTCACTGCATAGAATTGTTACTCCTTATTTCTAAGAGGCGTCTTTGTTATTTCTAGCAGAGTCGCATTCTCGGGATCGGGAGAGGACCAATCCCGCGCGTAGAGGACGTCGGCGTCGTTATGAGCCGTCGATGGGGCCGCAGGCTGCCAGAGAGTGGGGATAGGATAGCGGCCTGGTCGCAAAAATGCGATCTTGCCGCAACATATTATAAGGATTGGCCGATAGGCAGCGGAAGCCTTTTTTTCCCCGGGATAAGGCCTTGCTAGGCGAGGCGTCGATCCGGATGGACCTGAAATAACATGGTCCGAGTCATCAACAAGGCAGAGCGCCTGAGACCGGCTGTCGAGGTGGTGCTTAGTGTAAACGCCACATACTCCTGGCACCTGGCGTCCCCGAAGAGCCGGAGATCTGAAGGAATTTTCCACCCCGTCAACAAAAAAAAGGAGGGTCGCGTTCTCGAGGCAAACTGCTCGCGTCATTGATGGGTTTTAGAAAAGTTTATTGATGTTTTAAAATGTAATCATGATCTTTTATTTTGGGTAATAATCGAACAAAAAAAAAAAAAAAAACTGAAGATCAGTTCATTGTCTTGTTGTTCAAGTCTTTAGTCCGCTTTGTGCTTCCGTCCGTCTGTCCGTTCTTTGCTTTCTTGTGTTAATTCTCTTAGACCCCATAGCTAAACTATGTAAAAACTATTAAAAAGTTAAACTGACATAATCCTTAATAGTATAAATGGGAATGTGTGCTGATTTCTTTGTTTGACACACTTTCATGCCTTAGCTACTCAAACGGTCGTCAAGAATTTTTTTATATGTATAATCAGTGGAACAGAAAATAACATTGGTCATCTTGACAGAAATAAATCTTTTATTGGAAGAAGTATGGTTTTTCTATAAAAAGTGTATCTATTTCCTGCTTCTTGTTAAGGTAAGGTGGTGTAATATAAATTTTATCACAATTGGAACCTAGTGTCTGGCAATCCACCGAAGCACCCTATAGCGTAGTGCTATTATTCTGCGTGGAAGAAGGGTTAGCAGAATTTCTGGGGTAAATTTTACTCAGCTAAGTGGTACATAATACAGTTGGGATATACAAGACCAAAATAAATTTAATTATATTAGGTCTTTACCTTTACAGTTGGAGATTTATACGAAAGTACTAGCTGACCCGGCAAACGTTGTATTGCAAAACAAAAAAAAATTAGGGATGGGTCACCCTTACCATTTAGGGGTATGAAAAATAGATGTTGGCCGATTCTCAGACCTACCCGATGTGCACACAAAATTTCATGAGAATCGGTCAAGCCGTTTCGGAGGAGTACGGGAACGAACATTGTGACACGAGAATTTTATATATAAGATAAAATGTAAGAATTGTGTTTTTTTATAATTGTGGCTAATCAAAGTGCTGGTACAAATTATCTAAAGGAAAGCAAACAAATTATCTAAAGCAAACAATCCATTATAAGCTCGTAATTCAATAACCACGACTGGTCAATCGCTCCATTGACCAGTCGTGGTTATTGAATTACGAGCTTATAATGGATTGTTTGCAATTCTTGGCAATAGACACCTGCCGTCACTGTTGTGCCATTCGGTAAGAAGCTGTGATCTACAAGCCCGGCACTGGTCCACCAGACAGTCACCAGTCGCACTGATTAGGTTGCTGTAGTAAACGTTCGTCTCAGTCTCAATGGGTGGATCCCGGATCAATCCACTGAGACGAACGTTTGCGGGTGTCGTACAGAATTCACTTTTCATTGCAGGTAATAATTCCATTCAGAATTCCCTCATTTCTATGCTGACTCAGTAGTGCTATGCATGTTTCAACGCGTAAGTCTCGACGCAAGTGCTTAAATGTTGTTTTGACACTAATTCCACAGTCGACAGCAATCGCCTTCAATTCGTCGTTGTGGACTATAATTATCGACTGACCGCAAAATTGTACGAATTTACAGTTTATCCACGGCGCAAAAAACTACCACAATTGCACAAAAACAAAACACTGTCTAAAACAAATGACTGAAAAATAACAATAACATGGCTTTCGAATTAACTTTATTTGAATTTCGAATTGCGCGCCAAACCACAGATATCTACAGATAAATCTGAAAATGCTGGTTTTGAAAATTTCCGGCAGACCAATAGACGGGTCACCCGATGGAAAGTTACCATCGCCGCCCTTGAACGTCTTCAACTCAGGAGTCACAAACGCGTCGCCGGCGTTTTAGGCTTGAAAAGAGCACAGTAGCGGAGCGCCAACTATCCAGGTGATGAGGATGAAAATTGTGTGGAAAGTGTAGAGCTGAAGGCGGTGGGCCGGAGCGAAATACTGCCTCAATCTGATCAGCACACCGAGCTTCTTCGAGGTCAATTTACCCTTAGCCTCTAAGTGAACTCGAAACTGGACTTCGCTCGATATGTCGATGCCTAGGATTCCGATGCTGGCTGAGGCAGTTAGGGATGTGTTCTCAAACCGAGGTGATACGACAAATGGTATCTTCTTTGACCTGTGTCTTTTTTGGGTTGAACTGGACTAGATTTAGTCGACCCCAATCTGAAACCTACGATAAGGAAGTTTCAATTTCAGACACAAGTTTGTTTCGAGTCTCGATAACGTTTTCGAAATTGGTGACCCAATTATATGTGTGAGATATACTCGTATATAAAATTACACAATTTTTCGGAAAGCCCAAAGGAAGCCAGCTTCGAGAGAAGCGCCTTATGCCAGACCTGATCGAAGGCCTTCGCTATGTCCAAACCAACCGCAAAAGTACCGGAGGTGAGGGCAGTTGATTATGGATTCAATAAGCTTAGAGAACAAAGGAGTTATGGCTAAAGGTCTGTAGTTGGACGGGACAGAGCGGTCACCTTTTTTAGAGATCGGGTGCACAAACGCCACCTTCGGACGACGCTTTGGGAGTAGGAGAGTCGAAAAAGGCACGTTAAAACAGGTGCCAACTCCGGAGCACACGTCTTCAAGACGATAGGAGAGATTCCATCGGGCCCACACGACTTATGAATGTCGAGGGAAAAGAGTGCTTTACGCACTGATTTTTGTGTAAACCGGATATCCGACATATAGCTCTGGCACCGCGGTATGGTCGGTGGTACATTTCCCCCGTCATCCAAACTCTTCGCATCCAGTGAAGAGTTTGCCTAGGAGGTCGGCTTTCTCCTTGGCATCATAGGCCAACAAATTATCTCCCATCTGCAGGGGTGGAAAGGATTAGCTACAGAAATTCACCTGTACAGCCTTAGCAAGAGACTAGAATGCACGAGTTCCAGAAAGAAGTCTCACCAGTCTCTCACCGATCGAACTGATGTGTTTCGATTTCGCCCTTGCTAGGGCTCTTTTAAGGGACCTGGAGACAAAGTTATATTGTTTTTAGCATGCTGGTATTTACATCGCCTGCCGTCGCTGTATTTGCCCATGCTTGGTAGCATTAACGCTTTCTTCGTGATGCTGTTTTTCAGAATCTATCGAACCAGGGCTTGGATCTGCCACCGATGGAAATTATTGTAGAATTTTTTTATGTAAGTTAAAGCAAGTAGCGTAAATGTAATTTTAACGGCTTTTATTACGGCATCGGCATTGTCTAGTTAGGCAGAGGAAAATAGGATATAAAAAAAAACATATATTATATAGTTATCTATATTCAGGATCTTAATGGTTTACTTTGTCACTAAATTTTCGATAATTAAATTAAAATCTACATGTACAAAAATTGTTTTATATACACAAATTCATGCAATAACTATACTTAATCTATTTGGTAGGTACATAATGACCGTGTCGCACTTTACGCGAGGAATTTACATATACAATCAATATATTACTTTATCATGAAATACATCTTTTGACACATCCAAGTTTTTAAAACTTTCACATTATTTACGATGTTATTTATTAAAAGTAGCTAATCGCTAATTACATTAAAGTTACAATAGCATTTTTGTGAACCTGTTTGACGAATTTTGTTTGCAATTCAAATTGACGCCTATCATTATTAAAATTATAAAATCCATTCATGAACATTGCAAATCTAACACGTATGAATCACACAGAGTACGTAATTGTCAAACGAATGCTATATATAATCTCGAAAAAATGGGGACGCACAACATTTCATGAATTCATCTCGACCACGCACTCGCTTAGTGTGTGGGAAGAGGACGTCTATGCAATGGCGGTCCAACATCTAAACACACTAGGAATAATATGTTAATGTCCCTATATGAAAGAAATTTTATGTTTATATTTACACGCACACACAGACGAACATTTGGCACAAAGAGGCGTTTCACGCTCACACACGGGCCACTGCACGATCTACTACGGGTTCTGAGCAAATATAGGTATGCAGAGTTATCTACTCATTATATGTACTTCGTAGCCTCACCTACATGTCTCCACTTACAATATTGGTGAGTTCTTATTCTACTTATATACATCTCACAATCAGTCGTAAATAGTTAATATTTTGGCAGACAATTTCCATTTAATAACTATTATAAATTACAGAAACGTTGTTAAAAAATACGCGACGTATATTTTTGGATTGGCACTGGTAAGCCCTAAATAGGCCGGACTCGAAGCTGCTAAAAATATCATGCAAAATGTAAAACCGTACCGTATAAATTCTGAAATTCTTTTCAATTTTTTTTCTATCAGTTTTCTGTTCCATTCTGATAAAATTATTTCACAACCTGTTAAATGTTCAGAAGTAAGTTACTAATCTACACAGAGCGGATGAAACGTCTATCGAGTATTATAAATAATTTTTTTGTCAAGATTAAAAAGAAGATATTGTCAAGATTATTTTAAGTCTCAGTAGGTGAATATATATCTAGAAGAGTCTAGAAGTTGCTGTCGTACTCAGAGCGACGACGTGAATAGTGCGAGCGCGGGGCTGGGTACTCGCCCGTGTAACCGTACACTTGAGACCCGCCTCCTGTCTGCCCGTAGAGTTGCGAGCCGCCGTATCTGTCGACAGAATGCTTAAATTAGCATACGTACGTCGAGTGCTGTAACTACTACAAGTATTTGAAAATATTTTCAGAAATTCCTCAGTGAGTTTATTTACATTACGGAAAACAAAATCAAGTTTTTTAGCAGTACCTAACACGATCTGTTAAACGCAGCCGTAATCATGCAGATCCGTGTGGTGACGGATTAAGAATACAGAGTGTCACCACCCCTATTCATCCCATGGGTGTCGTAAAAGGCGATTCAGGGAGTAAACTACGCAGGACAACAGCACTGCAGAGAGAGGGAAAACTTGACACAAACCAACCAACCCGTCTGGCCAGCGTGGTGTAGTAGGCCAAAACCTTCTTTCTAAGGATAGGCCCTATGACCAACAGTGGACTAGTAAAGGCTGTTGATGATGATGATGGTAATCATGCAGCAAGTCTTCATAAGGAGTTCACATGTGTATTGACAATTTTGGGATGAATTTAACTTAAAAATATTTACGGAAAGTGTTCCCGATTGATTATATACTACATACAACTTTATAGCGTAATTAATAGGATACGATTACATGAAACTATCTTACCCGTATGGATTTGCAGCAGGTCCATAGACCTGTGAACCTCGACCAGAATCAGCTGTGTAATGCTGCATATATTTCTGAACCTGTGGAGTCCACTCCGATCGCCAAGAGTCACCAGGGTTAGGGTAAGCCAACTGCTCGATAAACGCAGTTGACATACGCTGTAAAAATATTGATTATTTATCGTTTACATGTAAAAAGCAAGCAAGAAGATGGAATAACTTTCAATGATGTGAAAATTGTCCTTCAGTTATCCTTTAATTTATTTTAAAGCATCAAAAACAGAATGATGTGACAACAGCAAGTTTTGCAGTTATGAGTATGAATCGGTGTTTTAACAAAAATGAAGAGAATCTACCGCTTCACGTTAAAAAAAGGTATTCATTTGACTTGACAGTCATCTATTCTATTTTAGGTAATGCGTGATCTAGAAGTTTAATTATCACGATTTCACTTAGAGTGAACAATTATAGAAGATTGAATAATCTATACTTAATTAGCTATCCTATTTTTTACTAGTAGTATTATATTGAATTGGAAAAAAAACTGTTTATTCATACCAGTATGTGTACTGTTCATACAACCAGTTTTAGAGGATTTTTTTTACAAAATTAAATTTGCAATCGCTTTTTTTATGTGATAAAACAAACAATCTCAATTTTCTGATTTTTACTTTACTTAACTTCTTGTCAAATTCTATAATTCCACGTTACTTTCTGCCTTATATTTAGAGCAAATGAATTACTACAATTCAATTACTTTAAAAATAAGCTGTAAACTTGATTTTTATGGTAATTATTTTACCTGCCTGCCTTCTTGTTAATTTTAACTGTATACCTTCAGGCGAATCTTAAAAAAAAAAAGCCGTGTGGTGTCGTGGGACACCCGATAGGAACGAAGTTGTGACGATCGAGTAAAACTGATTTGACACGATTTTAATTACAACGACATCTATGAAAGCGGCTATTACCTACATATTAAAAACAATTAAAACAATTTATACATTGGTAAAATCTCCTTGCGAAATGATTTCCTATCTATTCGATAGATGGCGCTGAATGTCTGACAAGATGACACGAAAATAAAGAGCAAAAAGCCAACATCACGCGGTATTCCCAGGCGGTCACCCATCCAAGTACTAACCACGCCCGATGTTGCTTAACTTCGGTGATCGGACGAGAACCGGTGTATTCAACATGGTATGGACGTTGGCGAACGTTAAAGCAAATTTAATGTATGGTATCCACAGTTAGACGTCAATTTATATTAATAAAAAAGTGTCGTTCCAAATTTTCGTACGAATTTTTTCCGTCTAGCCCCCTTTCACAACGCGCGATAAGGAACTTCGTTCCAAAACAGACAGACCCACGGACGAACTTCTTAGGAAGAGATCTCCAAAAAAAAAGAAATAATATATTGGTTGATCTATATGTTTGAAGATAATGTAACAAGAGCTGTGTAAATTACTTTTCCAGATGGCAAGTATGGGAGTTCACGATCTTTCAATTGATGCACGTCGTCGAAGCCACCCATATGACTCTTATCTAGTTCTCTGAGCATATCTTCGCTAAGTGGTATTGGTTGTTTAGCCTTGGCGCTCTTCTGGCGATTAACAAGCTATAAAAAAAAATAATAGCATTAGTGTACCTAATTTAAATTTAGTTTTTCTTGTTTTAACTAGTCTATGATAAGTCATTTTAATTACCACTGTGACGCCAAATATTACTACAAAGAGAAGAGACGCCATCGCTATAACAATCACAGCGATACCCCATTGAGGTAAAAATGACTCTCCTTCGGGTTCTACTGGCTTAGGCTCCTCACGCTTTGGTAAAACTAAAAAAGAACATTAATATTAAAATATTTAATTTACATAAAAGTCATAATGTATATATTTTAGAATAATATGTTAAAGCTTTCACCTATAAATTCAGTATACGCAGGATCCATGACAAACTTTCCTATTTCTAGTTTTCCTGCAGATTTGTCTATAGTTTTAGTCATTTTTTCATTACTCTTTTTCATCCTTTCTTCGTCAGGTTGATCTCCAAGCATCACATCAGGATCAAATTCATCAGGTTCTTCTGTTACCGTCTCAGTTACAGAACCAGGTTTTGCATCATGTAGCGATTTGTGAAACATTTTTTTCAAGTCTAATGTGTCTACTTTATCTTCAACTTCTTTCAGTTCAATAAAGTAGTCGACAAGAACAGAACCTTTAGTAAATCCATCAATCCGAATGCCTTTGTACCATTTACGAAGATAATCAGATTTAGAATAGACAGAATTCAACTGAAAATAAAAACAGAATTAGTAAACTTGGTGTCGTCATTTACAAGTAATCGTAAATAGAAAGAAATACCTCTTCCTTTACTTCATCAGCAAGGCGTTGCCATTCATCAGTATGATGGTCTAATAATTCCGGTATCCATTTGACTCCTAAAAATGTAATGTATTTTTATAAACACATTTTTTTTTCAAAGTAATACAAAACAGTCCGTGTGGCTACTATTACTAACCTGAAACAATTTTGATAGTTGCTGCAATATCGCACTCAGTTCGGCATACACCTGGAGTGGTTGATGGAGGTGGAGCAGGAGTAGTTGTGGTCGTAGTTGAAATGCGTCTCGTCGTTGCCTCAGTACTAAATTCCACTATTGGGCTTGAAGCTGTAGCATTCCTTTGAGCTTCTAGAAGTTTCTCAATTGAGAATGGTGTTGTAGATGGTGAAGGCCAACCAGTGAATTCAGTAGAAGCCCTAAAAAATATTTATTGATTTACTACCGTGTTAGAACCCAAGAGAGTAATCTAATATATCTGCTAAATTTCAAACCTGAAGTTGTAGTATTTATATCAGTATATATCTGTGAACATTTAATACTACAAACGCCCTTTTGCGTAATTAGTGTGACACGCTGATTTTTAAAAAGCGGTTAGTATCGTTAATATAAGCAGTTCAATATTCAGATTTATTTACAACTTGTTAGGTAACCCGTAAATTTATTAGAATGTCCGAGGATACGCCAACAAATCAAAACTTTGTGAAATATCTTATTTCTTATATTACTTTTACTATAATAATTATAATAAAAAATTACCTTGTAGGCCAACCCTTTTGTATCTTTGGAGCAACTGGACTAATACCTATTGGTTTAGTAGTGGTCGTTTTTCTGATTGTTTTGCCACCGGGCCGTGAGGGGAATACCAGTTTGAAGCCGCCTGGAGCCTTAGTTGTGCTACTAAGAGATTGAGGAGGATTATCAGTTTCATTCAGTTTGAAACCAGGAGGCAATAAGCTTGAAATGTCTGCTACTTTTACTTTAGTTTCGATAGATGTTTTATCACCTAATTTAAAACCAGGTGGTAAAAAGGCTGATATGTCTACGGGCATAGCGTTCGTAGGTATTTTAACGTCCACTTTGGGTTTTTCTGATGTAGTTGTAGTAATGTTTAATTTATAATCTTTTGGTAAGAATGCTGATATGTCAACTTCTTGAATTTTATCTAATATATCTAATTTTATAGGTTTTTTTGAAACTGATGTTTCTGTACTTGGTTCCTTGTAATTAACTGGCAATAATTTACTAATATCATCCTTTGCTATTTTCTTCACGATGTCTTCCTGAGGCTTATTTTCTTTCGGCTTGTACTCTTTAGGAAGAAGAGATTTGTAGTCTAATATAATTACTTTGTTTTTTGCACTAATTCCTGACGATCGGCCTTGAGTCCCATTAATTATTGGTATCTCACTGGAAGAAGTAATTGGTGCACTAGTAGTTGTTGTGGTTGTCGTAGTCGAAGTTGTACTCGTTCGTTTGTCTTTATAGGAATGCCTTGACTTATACCCTGAAGGTAATAGGCCAGATAAATCATCCATCACAGTCACCAATTTTTTCTTTGGTTTTGGTGTGGTAGAAGTTGTAACCCTCGGGGCAAATTTTTTTATTTGAACTGGTAATGGTTCGGGTAAAGACTTTTCAGCTTCAACAGTGGGTGGTGTGCTCTTTAAAGTGAAGAGTTTTATTGGTCCAGGAGTAGTCGTTGTTGTGGTAGTTGTAGTACTTTGCTCTGTAGTCGATTCAGTAATAAGTTCAATATTTTTATTTTCATTGTTCAATGACCCAGACAAAACTGCACTTGATAACTCAGACTGTATGCTATCTAATTTATCGTTAATATTTTCTGTAGATGAGGAACTGCTTGTAAAACCAACAGTTTCTTGTTCCAAACTTGGGTCTTTTGTAACTGATTCCTCCTCTTCTTCTTCTTCGTCTTCTTCAAATTCTTTGTCATCTGTCAAAACTTGTTTCTTTTCTTCTTGCTCCACTGTTGGGAACGGCAAAAAACGAGCACCAGATACACTTCTGCTCGTCTGAACAGAAGCAACTACAATCCAACTTTCGGTTGTTACTGGATTAGACGTATCGTTAGTTTGATTAGTAAATGAACTAACTTCTGTTGTGGCGCTAAGTTTTGTTGTGCTTGGTGCAAAAGTAACATCAGGCACCGATATGGTTCCATTCACCACACTTTTTGTTGTCACAACTGAAACTACTTCTTGACCTAAAATTGATGGAATTTCGATAGATGTTATATCATCCTCAAACTCAACTGAACTATTAAATAAATCTGATTTTAGGCCACTGTCTTTATTTTTATGTTCACTCTGATCTATTACTGTAGTGTCTACAAAATGTTTGAAATTATCATCCTGCACCATCGTTTTTTCTGGTTTCATGACAAGTACCTCAAACTGTGTAGTATTGATTTTCGATTCATGTGTGGATGCTTCTGGTTCTTCGGTAGTATCGTAATCATCATAAATGTCGGTCGCTTGTTCTGTGGTATATGGTTCTTCCTTTGTATGATTTACTTCAGAACTATCTGCATCATCATAATATTCATATTTTTCGGAATCTTCTACTTCTTCACTATCATATTCCTCATTGGAATTATTACTACCCTCTGTAGTTGTGGTAGTTGTTGTAGTTGTAGTTTTAGTGCTTTTACTTGCTTCAAATCGTTCTCGTTTTGGATAATTATCTGCGTTCATAAAACTTGCATCAGGCTTGCTATCAATCGCTGCAGAGTCACTGTTATTTGACTTTATAACTTCCACATCGTACGAGCCTTCTGTGTTTTTCATAAGTTCTCTAAATGAGCTAATATCACTTATATCACCTTCGAGTAAGGGTTCGATATCTAAAAGCCCTTTGTACTCTGTAGTGGTTCTTTGAAATGAATTAGTCTTTGGTTTATTGGTACCAAAGTTTTTATGTCTATTAAATGCGCTGCTTGGTGAATTTTCCATATGCGTATTCTCATTCAAAGAAAGTGAAAACCGAGGTACATTAGGCTTATTACTCAGTCTTTGTTTACTTGCTAGTCTATGGGGATTGTAAGTAGTGACTCTGTGCTGATCGTATAAGTCTTGGTTATCATTTTCAATATCCTCATCATGTAAGATATGGCCACTCTGTCCATTACTTTTTAAGCTGTTACCATCGAATGGCATATTTTTGAATCTGCTGTTCTGTAAGTAGTCAATATCAGGATTGTTTAAAGTGATTTGTCCTAGAAACGTTTCTGGTTTGGATGGATCATTTTGATACGCTATGGAATGTACTTGAGGTAAGTCTGGTCTTTTTGTTGACGCTGGGTGAACTAATTGAAAGTTATATGGTAATGCAGGCTTAAACCTTTGACGCTGTGAAGTAAATTCGGGTTGGTTTACATAATACTGGGTTCCGGATTGACTCCTGCCTGTGGGTAACTGAAAAGGTGATGGATTTTGATTGTAATTAGGACTTGGAAACCCAGTCTGACCCTCATTATAGATTAATTGTTGCGCAGTTTGAGTAGGTCTATAATTATTTCCATTTTCATAAAATGTCGATGGGTGAGTGTTTGGAAACACAGGCGGTTGAACTTGAGCAAAACTTTTTTCTACCGGCGAAAAGAAAAAGTGGTTTTCGTCTGAAACAAAAAGAAATATACTTAATATAATTTTTTTGTAGTAATCTGACAACATATTAAATATGTTATTGTAAGTTTATTTATTTATTGACCTATTGTTTTACAGATTAATTTTTGCTGTATATAATCTCTTATTTACTTTATTGTAATGAAACCATTCTAGAAAAAGTTAAATCTTTGGCTAAATATAGTCTTACAAGGGGTAGTCGCTGCAATTATATATCAACGAGTCACTGGTTGTTGTGAGCCTAATGTAGATTTTGCCACAGGATTTATGACCGCACCGGAGTTTAGTTTGATGTCTTTATATGATTTGAAAGATAAAAGTTACCGGATTGTTAAGTCTTTACAGTATTTATACAGTTGAAACGTAATCAAACTAAACAGGTATTCTCAAATTTGTGCAGCTTTGCAACTGTGTGAAACGAGTGAGCTATGTGAAATCCTAAATCGTTGGTTTGTAATCGTAAAACAATGTAAGGAATGTCTTGGGTATTTTCAATGAATGCTGATGCAGAGGCAGGTATTCGAGAGAATGCAAATCACAGAGACATATTGTTTTCTTGGACATTTTTATTGCAATGTAAATTATGACACGTGACAAAAGTTTAAAATTTCTTCTTTAGAGTTTAACAAAGTAACATTAAAGTGTGTGTATGGAAAGAGGAATAAGTATTTAGTTTGTTAAAATTCCATGCAAGGATAAATTGCCTAAATGGAATTAGTTTTACACTAACATTTATTTTATTTTAATTCTTTTAAAATTACAATTCCCAGTCAACTTTTGGGGAAATATCTGAGTAGGTGCACTAGAAATTAAGTTTTGTTTTAAAACAAATATAATTAATTGAGGAGATGGACATAAACAGTGGGACATATATATTTAAACACATGCTAAAATACACATACACGTATAATTGCTGAGTTACATACATACATATAATATACACAAACAATATATAAAACTTTATAGGTGTGATGAATCTGCTGGGGTGTCCCGAATGCGAGCTCTGAGCTTTCGACTTAAATGAGAGGCTGGTGCTATCCTGATGTCGAGAGTTTATCGATTATCAGGTATTTTAGAAAGCCGGAATTAACTTGTGTGTAATGTGGGCGAATATTTTATACGTTACGTCAGTAAAATTTTACACGTGTATATATTTTTTAATATTTTGCAATATTAAAAAATATATTTTTTAATATTGCAAATGCTTTATAATAAACTTTTTGTTAAAATTAATATCATCCTAGTTTTATTTATTTGTGAAGTGGTCCCGTGAAATTTTCTTAGGTTAAAACAAATACTTTCTAATAGCTTAAAAATAACTATTTAATAAGTGTTTCTTTTGTATAACATAAATTACAAAATTAAAAGCGAGTCATACCTATCTAGAACGAACACTGTATATTTACGCTGAAAGTGTAAGGGAAATAAAGAGCATGGTTAATAAACTTGAGTGTAAAATAATTCTATTACTGGTCCATAAACAAAGAGTATAATATCTCCTCATATGTGGAGAAAAACAATATCGTAATGGCATCTGAAGTTTGTTTTATGTGAATTTTGGTTCTACTCAGCCTTAATGGAGAATGGTTAACTAATGTTGTATATTGTCGAAGTAACAATTGGTTTATAACATTTTTATCGTATATCTTCAATTTTTATCTGTATTAGATAGTAGCACGCGATACGTATCCACAGTGAGTTTTTAATGTTATTGAAGGAAGTGCTGTATTGAATGTATCCTATGATAGTTTTTTTTTTCTTTTTCGTATTCTCAACAGTATTGCTGACTTGAGAGAAAGTATTGAATGATACAAAGTTAATGCAGTTCTGGACAGAGTATTATATTACTCCACTACAGATAAGTTAGTGCAAGAAAGGTCATCATAACATGCGGACCGTATTCAAGAACAAGTGTTGTAATTATTCTAAATAAATTTGCATAGCACCGTACATACTGAGTTATAACTTTTTGAATTAATTTCAACTAGTTTACTCTCGTTACTGTTTGGGATTAATTATCGTGCATATAATATACTAATAATACTATGTTTAATACTAAATGCATGGCATGAAGAAGTTATGCCATTATACTCGTATGCATGCTGTTGTAGAACATGAACATAAATGTTATTTCATGTTAATACCAGGCTACGTTTTTTATTGCATTTGTGGCATATAATTACATGTGAATTAGGTGATATATAAAAACTTACTATACCTTAATCTATACAAACAAAGTCACTAACACATCTAATCACACTATATACAAGTAGGTACTCTTTCAACACAGCAAGTATGTTTATATCAGCGGTTTGGGATGTACACCATTCGCAAGATAATCTAGGGAAAATTACTTTCTTGTGGATAGTATCCCTAATTAGGAACGGCGTCGGTGTTCATCAGGTCCCGAGTGAGTATCGTTGGGCCTAATAGGAAATCGATCAATTGAATATCTCATAAACTACAAGGACATTGGATGAGAAAGTTTGAGGTTTGTTTATCGGAACATACCTACTAACTATGCTTTTGTATTTATCGAAATCTCGCTTTGTATTCTAGAAATACAGGGATGTACTTATGGGTCTTCTTTGTTGTTACATAATATTGCATTATAACACTCGTTAAATTAACAGAATTCATAAAAAAAACTGAACCATTCAGTTTATTTTGTGATTTATAGAAAACCAAACTAAAAAATAGAAAATAAATTTGAAAAAAAAGCGTTGGGTGCCTGTTGTCAGTAGTAAAAAGCACTTTAGTTTTTAAAACTATATATTTTTTTAAATTAGTGTATGACATCGGTCCTCGATATATCTACAAAGTTTGAACGAATTCTGACCGTTTAAAGTCAGTCAAAATCACGCCCAAAGGAGTCGGTTACAAACATACAAACAAACATACAAGTGAAGCTAATATACAGCGTGGAATAACGACCTACTTGATAATAATATCCAATTTATCTCCTCTTTTATGAAAAGCAAAGGGCACATTATTATCTATTACAAAATAATATTTGTAGCCCTATTTTAGGGGCTTCGTGACGTCACTTTCATTAATGTCATCACCATAATTTTCTTGGCCATTTCGCAATGTTGGATGTACATGGACAGATGGGAAAAAATTATGAAGTTCATTGAACCCCTCATGTTAGTACTTGAAGAGCTCCTTAGGTAATGGCTCCGTGTCATTGGACAACTATTGTTGTCATTAACGGACTTACTATTGTATATTTTACGTATAAACGTGCATTTGATACGAATTGAGACAAATGAGGACTAGGAAGAGACCGATTAAAACCCACATGATTGACATTAGCAAAACATAGGTTGTCTCTCACTTGATATTTGATGGCAACTATTCTTTGATGTCCTTGCTATCAGTTCAAAAGTTTTCTTAAAGGTATGATTAGCTTGTACAAAAATCTGTAGTTGTTGCCTTATTGGAAAATAATTTATTACCATATTTCATCCGAAATTTATCTTCAACATACTTAGGTATTCACGATAGCTGGTAGTAGCAGAAAGGTGAATTATGAACGGTAAGGTCAACGCGTTTAGGTACTAAAGTTATCGAATATCGCCAAACGACGTAAACATTATTAAACCTATGCAAATAAATAAAATTGAAATGTCTGTTTGTAATGTCAAAATAATAGGGTTTCACGATACCTATGCGCAAAAACCAGTTTAAATATTTTTTGTCTGTCTGTTTGTTTAGGGCAATGTTCAAAACGGCTGGAACATTTTGATAATATTTTACTACCCGGTCACTGTCTACATAAGGAGTAACTTAGGTATCCTCTCAGAAAAAGCTACTTATATATAAGTGAGGCCTTCATGCCAGAGATTTAACAGTTAGTCAATATAATATACTCTTCAACAAAATTATATGATAATTTTCCGTAAATTATAAAACATCATCGTTTACCAAGACCGACTAAAGTTTTAAGCAACTTCAAGAGATTTATGTCTCGTTTACGTTTGGGATACGCCTCCAAACTCATCGTTTTTAAATTTTATTTTATGGGCGTCTAGTGTACCATGCAGAAGTAAAGTAAATTTTGATAAAATCAATAGTACGTTCAAAACGATGAACCAAATACATAAGAACCTTTCGTGAAATTATTTATTAAACGAAGGTTATGCAGTTAGATTAATCTTATGAGTACTTAACTGATATGTGTTAGGAACAAATTCATGCTATTAGTATTGTGTATATAGTACCAATGTGAATAGCAAGACAGTTGTTAAATTTTGTTTGTGTTTTAATTTTTTGTACTATTTATATCCCTGTTCTAGACCCACAGTACAAGTCCAGGTTGAGTTTAGATCTACATAGTGCAATGCGATATGTCCCAGAATATTTTAGAAGTTTTTAAGAAAATTTGATTACTTACTTACATAAAAGTACTTTTTACAAATGTAATATATTTCAGTCATATTATTTGAGTTCTATTATTATTAAAAAACATTGTAGTCAGGTAGTTCCGATGTATCGGAAGATTAATGAAACCTTGCGAAATTCCACCAAAGGAATTTGTATTGTAAGGAAAAATATATTTTGCTTTGAAGTTAACGGAGTGTTATTACTGCATTTCTTTTATGCGAAGATTTGGCAAGAGGCCGGATTATAATAACTGATTGCCGCCTGACCTCGCGATGTAGCAACGATTTTTGTATTTTTTATCGGAACAAATTACCAAGTTTGAACATCCCTTACAGTAGAGTGATGAATTGGAAAAAAATGTTACTTTTAACTTTCTCTGACTCTATAAACATAATCCTGATTTATGCATACATAATAAAAGGACCTTTCTCTAAAGCTGTGGATTTAAGCTTGACAGTAAATAAATTAATGTGGGCCGTCATCGTCCTTCTAATCCTGCAATAATCTTGCTTTAATTTTGGTCTTAGGATTATTTATTTTAGTAAGTAGTTATACACTGCTAGTATTAATACTTTAAATTAGCAAACCGTATTAAATCTATCCTCTA